GCTTCCTGTCTTGGCTTCCCACTCAGTCAACAAACCATTTGGATGTTAACGTAGAAAAAATATTCATTAAAAATTGAACCAAACATCAACCTCAACAGGAAAGATAACCAGGGTATTTGGAAGGCGTAATCCCAAAGCAACAAAAAAAAAAGCTGAAGAAGAAAAAAAGGGACTTATAACTTGTTTTAAAGGGGAGGGGTAGTAAATTGTTTTATACTGTCATTTGCGTATAGTCTTTAGGGTGTCAGTTACCAATGCAAATTGACTTTGCATAGAAAACAGTGGCAATACAAAAAGGAGAAAAAGGGACGAGGGTGTTTAATTTGTTTCACTTAGACTGAGGGGAGTTCTGAAATGGAAGCTGAAGACTTATAAAGTGAACAACAGCTTAAATTGTATAAGGTACGAAAGTAAGTGTCTGAAGGAAAACCTTCCGTACACGGCAGGTGATAACAACGTGCAAATGATTGACAGAAGCTTCCTGTCTTGGCTTCCCACCCAGTCAACAAACCATTTGGATCTTTACGTGGAAAAAATATTCACTAAAAATTGAACCAAACATCAACCTTACCAGAAAAGTAAGCAAGGTAAATGTCCATCATAAAAGGCGTAATCCTAAAGCGATAAACAAAAGCTGAAGAAGAAAAAAGGGGACTTGTTTTAGAGACTGAGTCCTACTACTGACGCATAAACAATGAACCATCAAGGCTACTTCACAAACAGCTGGCAAAAATTGTATAATAAGCTCAGCAGAGTGAAAAACACAAGGACATTTTCTTGAAAATACAAGTTAGTCTCCCATGAAAGGGACTGTTAGTATATGAACTTTTGCATATGTCTTTTGTCTTCAGAATTAGCCGTGTTCAGACTTTTGCGTCGGACATCATGATTTGGTGCTGCACCTAAGCAGCTCATAAAATACTGCTGAGTAAAACAAAGACAAAAGAGAAAGGGTGCTTAATATGTTTTACTAAAACTGCGAGAGAGTGATGAAAAAACAATCTTACATAGAAATGGCTGAAGAATGGGAATCGGCCGTACTTTACCATGGGGGTTAATCTCCTATATAGGCTATACAGGTATGTGCGGCCCCAAAGGGTATGGGTTTTCAGCTGTTTTGGTCATAAATAGGGTATCAATTTTAGCAGATTTTGGCCATTTTGGTCATAAATAGGGTATGGTTATTGCTCTCCAGCCTTGATGTGGGTAAGAAGCCACTTCTTCATCAATGTCGAAAACAAAATCAACAAAGCCCTTCACAAATTATGTTTACGGTATTTTAACCGTCTGAACAAAGGAACTAATTATAACGCATGTCTAAAACAGGGTTTTAATTTAAGGGTCAGGTCACAAATAGGGTTTCGAATTTTTGGTCAGGTCATAAATAGGGTAGGGAATATGGCAGAATTTTGTCATAAATAGGGTAAGGGTTTTGTGAAGAGGGCCGCACATCCCCACCCATATTTTCTGGGAGTACTCCCCCCGGAGCCGTACTTTACCAGTCAATACTGTATTGACGTTTTCACGCACTTTAATTTATTGCTTCCAAACTAAGAAAATTGCTGAAAAGTATTCACACACTTTATTGCTTCCTAATCATTAAGAACATCAATAGTTTACGAAATAACGACAAATGATGGCAAAGCAATCGTCAAAAGAATGGTTAGAAACCGGTCTGTGAAGTTTATCAAGCGTACATGGAATCAAACAAAAAGTAGTATTGAAATAAAAATTATTTACACGCTTTAAAAACGGCTGAAAACGTCCTATGAATTTAAGAAAAGTACAAATCGAATTTACATAATAACTTCCGCAAAATGTTGGCAAACTCAGTGTCCAAATAAAAGTTTAAAACCGTTCTGCAAAGGTTCTGTAGGCCATAGTGTATATTGAATCAAATCAAGAGTATAAATAAACGTTTTTTACGACTTTTAGGTCGACTGATACTCTCTACTGTTCATAAGTATCAACAGCTGCTGCGCTGTTCAAAATAATTTATCTGAAGAGAGCCTTAAGCCCATTACGGTAATTTCTGCTGAAAATTAAACAGATACAAGGATTTATGGCACAATTTGCAGTAGCTATTAATCTAGCCACATATTCAAAGTATGGATCGCCACAATTCGGCCATATGATGGTGTCCGTAAAGAGGAGAATACACCAGAAGATAGTGATGGGCAGCAAGCATACTGCAAACCCTAGCACAATAGCAATGGCCATCTTTAGCACATTCCGCTCCCTTTGCTGGCGTTGTTGACCAGCGTTGGTTGATTGTTCGCCTGGAATCTTCTTTGACTTGAGCTTTAGATAGATGGTAATGTAAAGTATGGCTATCAACACCAGCGGGACAAAACCGAATAAAACAATATAGGATATCATGTAATGCTCGTAGGATGAGGACTCTCCAAAAACTTCACTCCAATGCAGCTGACAAACCAGCTTTTCTGGATATTCAACAACTTTGTTGACGAAGAGCTGTGGAGAGAAAATAGCCATCGCGACGATCCAAGTAGCGAGAATCAAGAACGGGCACAGCTTTGAACTGATAAGTGGCAAACGGAGAGGAAATACCACAGCTCCAAATCGATCCACTGCTATCAGAACCAGGCTCTGAATAGACACAGTAGAGGAAACTTTTGGTAAGAAGGAAACCAGCTTACATAAGACCTGGCCAAGAGGACCACCGATCAGCCAGGAGTCTTTATAGAGCGTTTGAATCCTCCAAGGAATCAAGAAAATCGGAAACAGCAGATCGGACATGGCCATGTTTAC